TATTTTGTCTGAAATTTAATCGATGTGGTCAATGTCATCTAGCGGCGAGCAGATGCATTTTATGCATATACAAAAGGATTTTGTAGTGCTTGATATAAACTTTAAATGAGCACTATTAAAAGTCTTTTGCACGTAAAATAGGTGAGCTGTATTGCAAATAAGGGGAGCATCTAATGTTTTTTCTTTTAAATCAATGGGTTTCATAAGTGCCATTTCCACCAAAATTAAAATCAATCGTATTTCGCCTAAAATTAACTTTATTATGAAGAGTTTGATAGATAGTATCAGTTTGGCTGCTTCAGGACACATATTTTAAAAAAAAAGTTACGATTAAAAAAAACAAAATTTCAAATTTTAAAAAACTCACTTTTTTTCATAATATCTCAAAAATGACGACAGATACGTATAAAAGTGTATGGAGTAAAAGTTTTGGTATTTTTCTGACAAACACTTCGGTTTTTTTGTTTTTTCTGTCAAACAAAAATTGACGGAGATATGATTGATTAAAGAGCGCGTGGCAGCGCAATCACAGCCTCTCTTAAGCCCTTTAACCCTTCACCGTTTTTGAAAAAGGTTTTTTACTATATATTGCAATAAAGGATGTTGTAGCTCTCTTAATTACCTTTACAATGGTTTTTTATAAATTGTGATAGCATGAAAATTGAAGGAGTTATGGTCCAAAAACTTATCATATTTTTTTCTACTTAGTAACTGAAAATTTCGGAGTGTGAATATTTGGAGCAATGCGAAAATACGCAGTATAATAGAGACCCATTACTATTGCAATATATAAATAATATGGCTCATATATTTTGGAAATTATAATATAAAAATAATATTATATTTTAATAATAATAGTACAATTTTATATAATTTGTATAAATTTTATTCAATAAATGGCAATTTTTTACTCTAAATTAAATTACTTTTAAATATGTAATCATATATATTTACTGCTTTAATTTAGGGGTAATTTTAAGGGTACAAAAGCTTAAGAATATGATAATCATTTTCGAGAGTGTGGAATAATATTTAAATCCTTTTCATTTTATCAAAAAAAAAAAAAATATCAATTTTTTTTCAAGGGTTGAAAGGGAGTTAAAAAGTTTGATAATTATTATAGAGAATATAAAATATTACTTACCTATACTTACATCTTTTTATGTCATACCAAAGTATTTTTTTGTGATTTTTTCAATTTAGGGTTGTTTGCAAGAGTTGTAAGATTTTCAAGGAGTTAAAAATGATTTTAGTATGAGGTAATTATGTTAGAAAATACTTTACAATTTCAACACGTACTATTAGACATGTTTTCTAGCGATAAAATGGCTCAATGTCAATTTTTCCATTAAGGGGTTGTTTACACCCCTTAAAAATAATAGGCGGAGTTCAGATCATTTTCACTTTTGAAGTGAAGGGTAAGATGAGCCTAATTCTAAAATTTCATGCAAATCGGTTCACAGTTAAAAAATTCGGAGATAAGACCGTATTTTTCGCTTCAATGACTGCACTACGACCTCAAATATGCACTGTTTGGATCTAAAATAAATATTGAAAAAAAGAAGGCACCAATTTTTCTGTTGGTCTTCTTATTTACGGCACCCATAGTGTCAAAATATTGTTTTTCCGTTCAAAACTTCAAAGGCTTTGTACCTACTCGGAAAAAGTGCTGCATTCAATCTATTTTGCTTCCAGTTAAGTATTGGGAGTATGGACTAGTTCACTCATACGCCTTTGAGTCATGAGAATGATGTCTACAATAATGTGTTGACACACAATCAATGCAAATCACATCCCGATAGCATCTTGGCCGTTGCTTTGTCACAGTGCAGTCCTCGATTTAATTTCCCGTTGCATGCCATAACGTACTAAGTTATAGGATTAACACATTTCCACACCGGAAACATAAATTCTATCGTAGCCCGTATGGTACATGTATTAGGTACTGTATAATAGTCTACTTTGCGAATATAGGGAACAACTAATTGTAAGAAGAAAGAAAGAAAGAAAGAAAATCATTTATTGGTTACACAGCATAGGTAGGTACATTAAAACAAAACAGAATATAAAAGAAAATAACATAACCACAAATAAAAACAAGAAAACTAAATTCAGGTGCTGCTGTGCAGGGCCAACAGGTCGCTGTCTCAGCTATGCTACTGTGGTAGTACTTTCGCAATACCACAGCAGCGCTGATTTTCAGCCAGCGCCTAGTGATGCCCGAAACGCCAAACAAATTGCGACTATACATACTCGCATTTTGTACGAACTACAAAATGCGAGTGATTTTAAATAAAATAATAAAAAAAAAACGTCAAATAATAAATTTTGTTCTATAAATAAAATAAAATAATGAATAATACCTATAATTAAAACAGACTACACCTATGGTGGAACTACATTTTCCCGCCGCGCCGTATTGTGACACGGCTGCAACGCACCAGAGAACTACTAATTTGTTAATTGTAAAAAAACCATACAGGTTATGATGACAAAGTATCATTAGATGCGATGATGGATTGTGAAAAAATTTTGAAAATTACATACAACAACTAAACAACAAGTAAACAATGTCAAAAATAAATATATAAAAAAAGTAGGTAATAAGGATCTTGATTTATTATTAATCAACCGAGGGAAGCAGTTAATAAAATATGATATGAGTTTATTCACATCAAATCAAATGCTTCATTAATTTAGCTTTCATCGTCATTACTATTGGAATTCTATTGGGGATACTAGTCTATTTGGAATGGCAAAAAATTAGGAATCTCGAAATTAATTACCCCAAATTCATTGAGTGTAATGTTAGGCAACTTCAGACTGTTAATATATTTCTATTATTTCTTGAGGTCAGCTTAGGTCTGATAAATTCTTCTTCAGTTTGTATATACAATCAATAATATATTTTACTACTGGTCCTAGATATTACGCTGGCATCAAACCAGTAGCTTATGCTTTAGGGAAATCTCTATTTCGTAATCAGCAAAGTAGCGTTGTCGTTATTTTAATAATTAATGTAAAGAGATACTTTAAGAACAATCAATCATATAGAAGAATTTTTTCAAAAATAAAAGAAAGATATAATCCAGTTCTACTTTTCATAGTAAATCTGCTATTGTAAAACAAATGTAAGTTCGTAAGCGAGGAGCCTGCAAAATGTTAATTATCATAGCGTAACGACTCAGTAGTTCCCTTAACAACTCAGTATCATTAAGTGTGTTAAACTAAATAACTAGAACGATCGCGTTCCTGTGACAAAGCTTGCGGGGAATTCCCCGGGGCTTGGCACTGCGACCGCCTTAATTTATCCAAGAGTTTCCAACAATCCGAGATGTTGGGGAAAACATCAATATTTTAATTTTAAAGTAAACAGGAAATGTAAACGTCAGTCACGTGAATAGAAACCTTAATAGCGTCTGATTAACTGGTAAAACAAAGATATTGTGCATGCTGGAGACAAAACATATTATTGGAAAGCCGTAGTCTGAGAAAGAGGAATCTGCTCTGATATTTCAGGTCAATCTTTTTCCATTTTAAAATGAATAAATGCATGGCTATAATACATTGATAGCCATTTTTATAATTTCTGACTCGATGTTAAATGTAAGATTTCCGCTCGCCACAAAGATAGCTGATGTGCCACAAAATTGTGCCGCTCCATCTTCATCTTGCCGGTAAAAATCCAATATTTCTACCCCGTGGAGACTTTGTACGGTTATTATAGCACAACAGCACATTAAAACTCCCCCATGCGTTTATGGTAACCCTACCCCTAAGTCTGAGTTCTGGCACGTACTTTTCCCTACTTAATGTAAAGTTTATAGTTGTTAGTAGTTTCGCTTAAGCAGCGACCCTTAGAGTCGCATAATGTCAGCGACAGCGGGACCAAGTTTGTATAAAGAGGAAGGGAAATGGATTTTTTGGGGGGATATAGATTTGGTATGCCGTTTTGAAAGTTTCCAATGTAAAAAATGTAATAACGACGTTAAAATTTACCTAAGTAAGTTTATAACAGCTAAAGAGTTGTATTAATTTGCTTTTCATATGATTGTATGTATGACGTTGCTGGTTGCTGATGACATTTCTTTTTGATCTAGTAATATTTAAAATCAGCTTTACGCTGATTTTTATTGTCTTGATTTTGGAGCTTAGCATTTTTAACGGCTTTTTAACTGTAAAAAAGGTTGTCTATCTTCGGATGGAAGACTAGATCATAGCGATCTTGATGGTTATTTGAAAGACACGTAGATATCATTTGCAGTCGCAATTGCTACTTTTTTCACTAAGATGCCAGTAGTGGCAAGGCCAGACCCGCTAACCACAAATCGTGGACAATACCTCACTTGAGTATAAACAGAACAAAATTTATACAATATAATTAGTAATTTAAATCTCAGAAAAAAACATCTTTCATGTTTCCAGGTCTTCGGGCAAGCACCAGGTATGGTCGAGCGTAGCGTTGGCAGCACTCAGCATGCTAGCTAAAGAGACTGGCCTCACAGCGTTGCTGTTCAACGTAGCTTTTGACCTGTACAGGTCTTGGTCGCCAGTCACCAGGTGAGGGAAATAAGAAACGGTATTGTTTAATATTGTGATACAGATTGGATAAAGTAATTGAAGGTTCCATTATTTTTCTTATAAGAAAAGAGTGCCAAACAAACGTATGGCCCGCCAAGTGGTAAGCGCCCGCAATAGCCTTAAGGAGATTGCGATACCAAAAAAAGTCTCTCGCACCCTTACCCCATCTCCTATCCCGTGGAGCCCTGAAACCTTACTCACCAACAGAAACACAATACCACCAAAAGGTATCATTTTACTGTAATCTTCTGTAAGGAGGAGGTTACTTCCTTAAACGGGCACTCTTATTTCAATACCTCTTTTAAAACATCTTACATTATACACAAACATGTCTTATATAACTCGAAAAGCAACGTGGACACGCTCTTGTTATACCTTAAGGCATTCTTAAACTATTTCAGGTATCTAAACGTGAAATGGCGATGGAAAGGGGACGGCTTGTGCGGCAGGGTGGTGCGAGCCCTCGCGGCTCTCATCCTCCTGGCTGCTGTCAGACTGACAATGCTCCAAGGGTCACTGCCAGCGTTTTCGCCGCAGGACAACCCGCCAGCATTTCATCCGTCCTTCGCAGTAAGGTAATTGCAAACCTGGACTATGATCATTTTAATTGATGTTAAGCGGGAACAAAAGGCAACTCATGTGCTTAAAACTTCCCGTGAAGTCTCTACATATTGCCCGTGGAGCTTAAACAACAATATAAAAGAAAAATCTGCTGCCCTTTTTTTAAATATCATTAGATATTATCTGTATAGATGTCTGTTAGAATTTACAGGAAGAAAATTTTGTTAGGTGTCATTGTTATTCGGGTAACGTTTTTGCACGCCGTTAACCTACAAAGGTAACGGTTTGGTATGTCAGAATATCAAAGATTTTTATCTTACAAAATAGGAAATCTAAAGTAAATATTATTGACGTGACAACGTCTTAAATTAGGTTGCGGCTGGGAGTCACTTATGAAAAAGTGTAACGCTCGGTAACGTTACGATGAGTCTCTCGTGTTAAGTTTAAGTTTACATGTACAATGTTTTAGTAAACAAAATATATTTCTATAGTTAAAATTTGTGCAATTCTTATTTTCATTCAATTCCTTGTTCCTATTGTGCAATTTAATTATATTCATATCAATAAATATTCTACCGAGAAAAAGACGTTGTCACGTAAAATCTTCGCCCGTAAAACCGACTTTACAGGCAACCATTTTTTAAATATGTTCTTTTTTTTTTATCTTTAACTTTAAACATGTAGTAGTCTAATGCTTAAAATAATAATATAAATATTACTATTGTCAAAATTGTTGGATTTCAGCTATTATGGTAATAATTGAGAAGGGTTAAAAGGCATGTACAAAGTTTCTAAGCAAATAAAATTTTAGAAGTGTTCAACTTCAGACATATTTATAATAAGAGCATTGTTTAAAACATGTAAAGGCTTTCATTATCTCTGCGACCCAGTTAAAAAAACAATAATAACCGGCAGACTTTAGTGTTCAGAATTTATTCTATAAAATCAAAACCTAAGACTTCTTTGTATAAATCTAAAGAAAATATTAGTGAGTCATTGAAGCATTATTGCTCTGAATTTTTTTACTGTGAACCGAATTGCATACAATTTTGGGATTTGGTTCATCTTACCCTTAACTTCAAAAGTGAAAATGATTTGAACTCCGCAACCACCCTGGGGGTGGTTGCCACCCCTTCTCGGGGGTGATTTTTATTTTTTTCAAAATAACCTCGGATATCTATATAAGGCCTAATTTTAAATAAAAAATCACCTATAAAGTTTTTCAAAAAATCCAATACTTTTCAAGTTATTGGCAATTGAAAATTCGCAATTTTTCCACGTTTTTCATCGGTTTTTTGCAAATATCTCTAAAAGTACAGGTTTACTCGAAAATTTTATAAAAAACAAAATTGTAGCAGGTAAAACAATAAACAATTTGGTTTTTTTATAAAGTATTCTAAGTGCAATATTAAGCTAGATATTAAAGATCAAAGTCGTTTTTTATTTTGTCCGAAATTTAATCGATGTGGTCAATGCCATCTAGCGGCGAGCAGATGCATTTTATGCATTCTAATACAAGAAAGGTATTGTAGTGCTTGAAATAAGCTTTAAAATGAGTACTATTAAAAGTCTTTTGCACGTAAAATAAGTGAGCTGTATTGCAAATAAGGGGAGCATCTAATGTTTTTTCTTTTAAATCAATGGGTTTCATAAGTGCCATTTCCACCAAAATTAAAATTAATCGTATTCCGCCTAAAATTAACTTTATTATGAAAAGTTTGATAGATAGTATCAGTTTGGCTGCTTCAGGACATTTATTTTTCAAAAAAGTCACGATTAAAAAAAAATACAAAATTTCAAATTTTTAAATACCTACTTTTTTCATAATATCTCAAAAATGACGACATATACGTATAAAAGTGTACCAATTAAAAATTTAGGTATTTTTCTGACAAACAATTTGGTTTTCTTGTTTTTTCTGTCAATCAAAATTTGACGGTGATATGATTGTCTAAAGAGCGCGTGGCAGCGCAATCACAACCTCTCTTAAGCCCTTTAACCCTTCACCGTTTTTGAAAAAGGTTTTTTACTATATATTGCAATAAAGGATGTTGTAGCTCTCTTAATTACCTTTACAAAGTTTTTTTATAAATTGTGATAGCATGAAAATTGAAGGAGTTATGGTCCAAAAACTTATATTTTTTTCTACTTAGTAACTGAAAATTGTGAGTGTGAATATTTGGAGCAATGTGAAAGTACGCAGTGTAATAGAGACCCACAACTATTGTAATGTGTATATATATACATAATATGGCTCATATATTTTGTAAACGTAGGCATGAATACATACTATCGTTCTTGTATGTATATATAACACATTTGAGTGAAGGGGCCAACGAAAAAGCCATGTGATCAGCTGTGCGTGCTCCGTTTATTCGTATAAGCACGTGTTTAATAAATATTTTAACTAGACACCCAATTTCAATACATTTTGTTTTATAAAAAAATGTAAGTAGATAAAAAACCTGTTTTTTTAATAATATCTTATTAAAATTGTGCCATAAAATTATATTATCCAAAAGGGGGTTAAAATTTTGATAATTATTATAGAAAATATAAAATATTACTTACTCTATACTTACATCTTTGACATAACATACCAAAGTATTTTTTGTGATTTTTTCAATTTAGGGGTTGTTTGCAAGGGTTGTAAGATTTTCAAGGGGTTGAAAATGATTTTAATATGAGGTAATTGTGTATAATTGTAATAGTTATTTATTATACAAGAGTGGAAAGTTCCTTTTTAACCGCGTGCTCGATTTGGATGACCGAGCAAGCGAAGGATTCTAAAGTTGAATCACGAGCGCAGCGAGTGATTCTAAATTAGAATCCTGAGCGTCAGCGAGGGAAACAAACGAGCACAAGGTGAAAAATCTTTCCACTCGAGTGCAATACGTAACTTTTCATCCCACCTCAGCGAGGAAATGACAAAATGAAAAAGAAAACAATTTATAATGACAAAATATTTTTATTTCAATTAAAACACATTAAGATAATCTATAAATTGAAGAAAATAATAAGAAGTAGAAAATAATTAAGAAATATTAAATGTAACGTTGCTACAGTTACTTATGTTAAGTTTAATATTTTTGTTAGGTAATGTTATGTTGGTGTTTGTGAATTGTGCGCTGTTTTGTGGTAAACTACTCGTATCAGTAATTTTAAATAGTTGTGCCGATTCATTGGATTCTATTGGCGTAAATGTTGGCGAGAGAGGGCTATTGTTTCCAATCTTATGGGGGCTCATTTTAGATGTAGAAGGGCGAGACCAAGAATCTGACAGAGGTTCTTTCAGCGTTATGGCCTCCACGATACTATTACAAATTTTTGATTTACTTTGGATTGAATCCTCTATGTATCCCTCTACAACCGAATTAGACTTCCAGCCTCCATGGCGCTTAAGCGATAGAAGATCAGCCCCTGATTCGGCCAAAAGTGTGGCTGAGGTTCTTCTAAAACAGTGACCGGTGTATAACGGGGGTTCTAAAAGTCCGAGAAAAGTTGCTATTTCTCGTGGAATACTGCCAATTTTATTCTGACCCATAGGTTGTCGGATACACTTTCCGTTGCGATATTGTAGAAAAAATCGTTCAATTGGGGTGTTAGAAGGACGTAAAGCTTGATATTTCTGAACAATGTTTACATATTCCTTGCGAATAACGAAGTTGCGGTCTTTTTTTGTCTTGGTATTTAGTACATTAATTAATAGCAATTCATCAGAATTATGAGAATATTTTGATACGTTATTGACATTAAGTAGTGTAAGTTCATTTGTTCGACATGCTCCGGTTATACCAATAATAAGAACAACCTGTAACAAAAGAAGTATTTATAATCGTAAATAAATTAATCAAATTAAAAATATTGTAAGTACTATGTACAATTTTATCAACAACAAAAAATTACACGTATTGACTTACTTTTGCCGCTAAATATACGGAATCAGGTGCTTCATTAATAAACTTTGCAATTTCAGATGCTGTGAAAACCTTCGATTTTTTTGGTTTATAACCAGATGAGGCTCTTTTTAAAAATGCCACTAATTTATGATAGGTGTCGATATGAACGTCTTTCTTCATCTTAATTGTTAATTTTAGCATTGAATACGTACTCCATAGCGTGCTTGCTTTCTTGGTCTCAGATAATTCTATAAAATATGCCAGCAAAACGTTTTCGGAGAAAGTTTTTGCTCCTTTAGCTAGTCGCCACATGTTAAATATATCGTACTGTTTCAAATACTTCTCTCGTGATTGCTGAGGGAGAAGGCTCATTTGCGCATTATTAACTGTTTCAGTTAACTCAGTTGGCGTTAGATAAACTTCATCGTCGCTAATGTCACTCATTTTAGTTGATTTTTTTGTACAGTTTTTAGGTTATGTTAATTATATTAAGCAATAAAACGTGAAAAACTAGAATGGCGCGAAGCACGCAAATAAAACAAAGAAACCAAGAAGGTTCCAAATTTAAATTTTTTCACAATTTAAAAAGTTCTAATCATAAATTTGGCACCATAGAGGTTACATTAAATAGGTTTAATGACGTTTTGAATTTACAATTATATTGAGTACTCATTATATGTGATGTTCTAAATTCAAATCTACTTTGCCGCTCAAGCGAATAAAATAGAATTTTCCAGCCAGATTTCGAAGCGCAAAATTACACTTTCCGAGGTGGTGGGATGAAAATGTTATAAAATACTTTACAATTTCACCACTTACTATTAGACATGTTTTCTAGTGATAAAATGGCTCAACGTCAATTTTTCCATTAAGGGGTTGTTTACACCCCTTAAAATTATAGGCGGGGTTCAGATCATTTTCACTTTTGAAGTTAAGGGTAAGATGAGCGTAATTCCAAAACTTCATGCAAATCGGTTCACAGTAAAAAAATTCGGAGGTAAGACCGTATTTTTCGCTTCAATGACTGCACTATATAACTAGAAAAAAATCCACGCGGATCAGGCAGCAGACAGGACTCGAACTCGTACCCTCCTATATCCGAGCGTATGCACTGACCAATTACGCTACCGTGGCCCTGATGGCCGCGTCGAAATTCTTCTAGCCATTCTTAAGCTGCTAGGCAGCGCCATCTCTTCGCATTGTATGTAACCCAGAATGTCAAATGAATAATTTTACAAATATTAAACATTTGAAAGAAGAAGTAGGAATTATAGTTATAATTTTTATTTTTTAAGCATGTAACTGCTTGATGTCTAAATCTAAAGAAAATATAACTGAAAAAAAAATGTTTTTCTTGTTTTTTTTTCTAGTTATATTTTCTTTAGATTTAAACATCAAGCAGTTACATGCTTAAAAAATAAAAATTATAACTTCTTTGTATGTTTTTAAAAGCTTTTTCTACTTGATTCTCTGTTGTCTTCTTTCCAGACTGATGACGTTCTGCTATTTGGCCGCGTTCAACTGGTGGCTGCTGTTGTGCCCGTGGACGCTGAGCCACGACTGGCAGATGGGCTCCGTGCCGCTCGTCACCAGCGGCTGGGACCCCCGGAACCTGCTCACCTGCGCGGCGCTGATCGCACTGGTGGCGCTGTCATGTAGATGCTTAGTAGACTTAGAGGCAAGTTTAATGTGTTTGTTAAACATTTTTTTTTTTTGAGAAGGATGGATAATATACTTTTTAGGGAAAAAGAGAAAAGAACTAAACCTCGAGAAATTAACAAGTGTAATCGATCATGTTGTAATGTTAGATAATCCCAAAACTGGAAGTCGTAAAACTTGGCGAATATGTATGAAAATATTGATGCGGGAATCCCTTGATCTGTTTCAAACATTTTATAAGAATCTTTCTCCGAAATGATTTTTGTTCAGGTATAAACAGTCTCATGCAAACAACTTTAGAATTCATGCATACGAAAAGACCTAAAGTACCATTAATTGATATAAAACAATTACAAATTGAAGCCGCATTAAGTAACGGGTATCAGGAAACAGATTATATACTCTCATATCGCCGCCACTCAACGAAAACCCAGAAAACCGAAACGAGCAGATAACACAAACCCCAGCCCCCTCCCGGGAAAATCTACTAAAGTGCTCCCACTAACCCATCAATGGGGCATTAATTACAACACAATTTATCAATTGAAACAGATCGACGGATTTCCGCAGACGAGATACAGAGACGATCTGCACCACTAACCCATCCCGTATATTTTCGCCCATTTTCCCTTACAAATCGTTATGTAAGGCATTGAAAATATTTACTTCATTCGAGTATTTACATGTTCGTCTATAAAAAGTATTTCTAGCATAGTTGCTATGGCAACTCGTAACACAAAAGATATCCTTTGAACGTGAGGAAAAACAAGAATGTTTGAGCACAATGCCTGCACAAGATCAGCTGAATAAATGTGATTGTTAATTATGTTTTACAGAAACATAGCATCCAAATACTGGCGTCTATAGATCAATGATTGCACTTCATATCTATTTGCATTCTCTTCATTAATAAGTCAAGAAGTACGACACGATAATCTATCGACGACCTCCGTGGCCGAGTGGTTTGTACGCCGGGTTTCATGGTGTCGCCGACTCGAGAGGTCCCGGGTTCGAATCCCGGTGAGGGCTGATGTTTTGTATGATGAATACGAGCATTTGTATTCGTCATTTATGATGTCTATAGAAATATACTTTTAAATGTAGTGTATATGTATTCTATTCGTTACCCTAGTATCCCATAACACAAGCCTTACAGTGCTTACTTTGGGACTAGGCTAATTGGTGTGTGTTTTAAAAAGAAATCTAATGATTTTAAGAATTTGCTTTGTACACGTTTTATTCTATCCTTGTGCATGGAATACTGAGGACTCCAAACATCGCTAACAAACTCCTAAATACTCTAAACGTAGGCGTAATAAAGTATCTTAAGAGTACTACTGCCCATGGTAAAAGGCTTTCCTTGTCATGGGATTAAACCCAACTACTTAGGTATACGCCTTAGCTACCATACTGCCAATATATAACATGAAATCTTACGTTTTTCGAGTAATTAAAGTGTAAATTTTAATAAATAGCTCAAAATTATACATAATGATTCAATAAAAAATTCGGATTCGAGTTTTTTTCATTATTAATTCGCAATTTGTGAGAACATTTACCATAGTAGTGTATATTTTTTTACACCATCAGAAAGTAGAGATTTCAACAAAAAAAAACACCAACTTTTAAAAAAAGCAGATATTTTGACGTGAGAATTTTCGATTCAAAATTAGGGTGCTTTTTCGATATTAAGTCAAAATAAGGTGAAAAAATTAATATTTTAAATAAAAAAAAAATACTGTATGTTTGGGACAAACAAAGGTAAGTTTTCACTAAATTTCGTGAAAAACATTTTTTTTTTTGCAAAAAATAAAAATAAAAAACCAAAAACTCGGTTATTCGAATTTTTCACATAAATTTTGAGGTTATGTGAAAAAAGTGTCGTGACAAAAGTTGTAGATCTTTTTATTACCTACATTTTTGCCATTTAACTTTTTTTCATAGGACTTGCAGTTTTACCGGAAATCTATAAATTAACCGTTTTTTATCCTTAAAAACTCACCCCCTCCCCCTTCCCGACCTCAGATCGCCCGAAATTTATTTTCTCTTTCATTTTTGATATATTCTCTACTTTTTCCAATGGGTTTCATCCTACTATAATTTTTTTTGGTCTCAAAAATTATCGACCCTGGTCTAAAATAAGATCGATTAGATATGAATGCATTTAGATCAATTTGGTGACTTTCTTTAACAAGGCTCATTAGTTAGTCAATCCACATAAAACAAATGACGGATTTGGGAAAGCAAATTAATATTATTGAACATTTCCTGATTGCAGTTGCAACGTCACACTCCCGCTGTAGTTGGCTTGATGCTTCTTGTGATCCCGTACCTGCCAGCATCCAATTTACTCGTCACAGTCGGATTCGTCGTGGCTGAGAGAGTGCTTTATATACCCAGGTAACGGAATACAAGTCCATTAGCATCATAGAGTACAGGCCGGCCCTATGGATGGATTAGGTAGGTTGAGCCAAGACATACCACGCGGGCCCAGTGCAGATTGATGGGTGCTAAGGACTGTAGGTGCAGCCGGGATCAAAAAAATGCACAGTGGAGCTCGAGATAGTAAATTTTTGGTGACCCATCCAATGATCGCGATCCAGCGAAAGTTGCTTAACTTTAACGATCGCATTTCTGTCTATTGAGTATTTTTATGTCCCAATATTAAGGACAGAGGCCAGAGCATAGACTTTAGACATAGAAATGGACTGATCGTTCCTTATCCAACTTTAAAGTAAACTAAGCAGGTAAGTGTGAGACAGACCAAGCGATCGAGCAGTCCATAGCTAACTATGATTACACAAATGCCAAAAGCCATATCTAATGGTAGTTGTGAAGTTAGCCACGAGTACAAGTTCAGTCAGTTAAATACCAAGGGTGGTTTTTAGTTGAGTATGTACCTAAATTTCGTTTACTAACCTCGCAGTTACCATTATGTTTGCATCATAGGCCGAAGCAAGAACTTTGACAGCTCTGTAATCGCTTCGCATCCTCCATCCTCTATGAAAACAAAGCAGCGCCCCTACCGGACGTAAGAACAAACTGGCTCCATCCATAGAAAATTTGACGATGATGATACGATTACGGATCTGTCAAAGTTTGCGCTTGGGCGTCTGTATTGTAGGAAGCCGGTGATGATGACATTTTAATGTTGGAATATTCCAGTGTGGGCTCAGTAATGCTGACGGCATACGGCATGCAGCTGGCGTGGCGTCGGCGCGGCACGAGGCGCGCGCTTGTGGCCGGCGCCGCCGTGCTGGTGGCGGCCGGCGTGGCGCGTGCCTGCATGCGCAACCTAGACTGGCGCACCAGGGAGACCCTACTGCGGTATGTTTCCTGGGTCCCACGGCACGTTTTCTCACCGGCTAGATCGTCAAAGCGTTTGCCGTCGCTCGTCCAATTCATCAGCAGTCGGTTAGGGGCCGTTCAAGTATTACGTAAGCAGATTTATTACAATTATTTACCCCCTCCTCCTCCTTGTCAGCAAAAGTAAGCAAAGCTCTTACCCCCCCCCCCCCCTCCCATGCTTACTTAAACATTGGTACCTATATGCATTTTTCCTTTAATGATTGTTTTATTGATGTATGAGCTTTCATGAACTTCATGAGCAGCAGTAGTTAAATAGGCTTAGGATAGAAGACTTTAACGCACATAATATTCATTTAAACAAACTATCAACATAGAGTAAAGTACTATTACGAACAAAACCAACTTCTTTCAAATTTTGGTATATGTATACCAATGCAAAGACCCTCTGCTTCCCTATAGTGCTTATGTAATACTTGAACGGCCCCTAAGGGTGCCATTCCGAGACGGGCTGCAGACCGCAAACTGCAGCGACATCACTTGTTTCTACGAATTTCTATAAAATTGTATCTGAACGCGGCGACACTGTGGCCAAAAGGGGCGACGCGTCGCCTGCGGCAGCGGTGCGTAGAGACCGCAGCGCAAACTGGAGTGACTGAGGCATGCGGCATGGCAGTCGCGGCATTTCGCATTGGTTAGAAAAGCAACCACGATCGCTGGCGACCGCAGTCTCTAGCCACAGTGTCGCCTTCGGTTGCAGTCTCCCGCCCATCTCGGAATTGTAAATTTAAGATTGAAGATTGCGGCACAGTAATGGTTGGTGCGGCGCGGGGCATCCAGTTCTGGGCGGCCTGTTGGGGAGGGTCTTCGTCGATCTTTGTACTGCTCATTCATTTTGTTGGCGGTTTTGAATGTCATAAGCCGTAGGAACGCTTGGCATGGACCGCGCCAGACATAGCACCGCTTAGCGCGGCCTGTGATGAATAATAATAATAACCCGAGAGACCCTACTGCGGTGATATTTCTATGCGGACGGTGTAGTACTGGCGGCGTACTGTATGTGTGTTTACTTGACTTGTCCTAGAAAGTTATACATGACTAAAATGTAAGATATAGTAACGTAGGCCATCGACCACAACTGGAAAGTTCTGGTGTGTTTGATGGCCCAAAGAAATAATATTCTCGAAACTTTTACTTTGTTCTTTCAGGGCTGATCTGGCGGTTTTGCCACTAAATGCGAAATTGCACTACAATTTCGCTAACTTCTTGAAAGATGTTGAACAGCAAGAAAACGCCATCAAACACTATAAGGAAGCTTTAAAGTAAGTCTTAGCCAATTAAAGCTACGTCTAAGAATGATTAATTACGTTTTTGTATTTAAGATCCATCCCACATAGTCTTTTTAAGTTATTTTTTTATATTATTCTTTGTAGGAATCGTACGAGCAGACAACTAATCTGAATGATAAATCGCCTACGCCCATAGATATCTGCAATACCAGAAATAATAAAATAATATATACAATATAATTTCAAATGAAATTAAGTGACACTGATATCCGCAGAAATTGCAATTAGGAGCGCGGAACACCAAAACAACTTCTATGTGAATGTGGGCTTCTTATCCAAAAACGTACTATTCATCTGACGCGACATATAATACGCCCAGAGGAAATTAAACCTCTAAGAGCTAGAAATGTTTTCAGCTTCTGGATGCTGTCGGGCTAAAAACGATACTTTAACTTGGTGGCGAGTCACAATAGATCTTTTAGGTCGCAGTAACTACAGTTCTAATGGGACTGCATAGTCCCAAAAATATGAAAAAATAATAACTGCTAGATTTATTGTTATAGTGCGTCTGAAATGTTTTCAGACTATGGCCCAGTTACGCGAGCGCGCACAACAACCTGGGCACGCTGGTGCTGGCGTCGGGGCGCGCCGAGCACCACTTCCTGCAGGCACTCAAGTACAACCGTGACCACGTCAACGCGCACTACAATCTGGCCAAGCTGTACCGGTAACATCCTCTATTTTTAACATGTGCACCCAACATAGTTTATATGGCACTCCTCTTGCATCGAATTCACTCACTCAGCAAGCCTACCAAATAAAATCCTAAGAGTCTCTGACAAAATGGGTTTTTTTGGGATCCAGAGACTATCCAAGTTACCTGCCCCAGTAAAAGTTCCTCCTCCTGCGTTGAGGATGGCCTAATCAACGAATAGAAAAGGATTTTCTCCTTGGTTGGATGCTAAGGATTCCTGGTTCAGCCAGGACCAACACAGCCTAAGGTGCCTTCTAAAGCTCGGAAAAGAACGAGATAATAAGTTTTTGGCCATCCATCCTAAGATTAGTCAGTAACTAACTTCTAAGATTCAAACTGACCGTGTTTACAGATGCATCATGCTTCACGGACGATGCGATATAAATTTAATAGCGCTTGAGATATTATAGTGTTTTTAATTTTTCCCAAAGGTTGACTGGGAGAGAATGCTTTTAGCATTAAGTCCGCCTTTTTTACCATTGTTTTATATTTTGGTCAATAAAGATTAAATAAATAATATTATTAGCGCAAGTCGTGATATACGCGCATGTTTGGAAAAGTGACAGGTGACTCATTTCCAGTCCACAATATTTTCAATTATATCTATATAGTAAACTTGGCAAATTAGCTTGAAGGACAAGAATATGATTCATTATATAAAGCACATTGACCTTCATTATTCTTTCTGACAACAACAAACTGACGTCAATTAGAATTAAGTGCTTACTTAGTATTTATGCTGAAGGCATCAGTATTGTTATTTGCATTATTATCATCCGTTATCGTCCACCTATCCCAGTCTGTGACGTACGGTCATTGTTGAGTCTTGGCATTGATAAAATTGTATTTATTTGAATAAAGCTTAGTTATATTTGTCTCAGATCAATGATCGCTCAAATGTGACTTTCTGGTTCTAAGATTTACCTATTCAGTGCAGATCTTTTTTATATGCGCATTCACGCAGTAAATTACCCCACCGTGTCTGGTAAACCCATGGTCCGGTAACAATACAAAACAGTATTTTATATTTAGGTATACATATATTCTAAATCCTAATGCAGACAATATAATGTTAATGCACAAAAGTTCATCCAAAATAAGTAAAAACGCTTATGTTTAATTGAATAGAAAGGGCAAGCAAACATCAATAACTGCATAATATAGAAGTATTTAAAACAATAGAATAATATGATAGTACGATTAATGCAAAAAGCCTAATAACTACTTAGTGAATTATCGATAAATATAACTGAATATTCATTTCTTACCATGTTTCGTTCACAGGAAGAAGAACAGAGTGAGCGAAGCTCTGAAAATGCTAGAACGCTGCATAGCCCTGGAGCCGCGGTTCGTGCAAGCTCACCTGGAGCTGCTGCTGCTCACTGCTGAAGGAGAGAGGAGACCTATTCTGGACAAACTACTCGAGCTGCAGCCCGACAACTGGGAGCACTACTTGTTGTACGGGAACTGGTACAAGGGAAGAGGTGAGAGCAATTATACATTTTGTTTAGTTTCGTAAGAAGCTGACTGATCCTGTTTTGTTAATTCCGTAATATCCAAAACTTACCCACCCCCCAGTGCAGTAAAAGCTGGATTTAAAAATAAACGTAAAAGAAACATTACACAAACTTACACAAGCCCTAGTAACATACCTTAAACATTGCTCTAGCTGCAACCCGACAATTGAGAACATTACGTGTTGTAACAAGTAATGCTCACAATGGGCACAAGGGAAGAGATGAGAACAATTATTTATATGAGAGTTTTACCAGAGCCTCTTTTAACTAGAATAAATGCAGTTGGTACTGGTGTGCGGCTGGCTGACTGATCCTTTTTTGTTAAACTGTTCACCGAGCAAAGCTGGTGGAGCGAAATATTAAAAAGAAGTAAAAAAGGAAACCTTATGGAAGGAATCCCTAGTCCACTAGGACCACAAGTAAATAGTCATATAGCGTGTAGACCAGGGTCGATAATTTTTTAGACCAAAAAAAATTATAGTAGGATGAAACCCATTAGAAAAGGTAGAGAATATAACAAAAATGAAAGGAAAAATAAATTACGGGCGACCTGAGGTCAGGAAGGGGGAGGGGGTGAGTTTTTAAGGGTAAAAAATGGTTAATCTCGATTTCCGGTAAAACTGCAAGTCCTATGAAAAAAAGTTTAATAGCAAAGTTGTAGGTAATAAAAAGATCTACAACTTTTGTATCGACACTTTTTTCACATAACCTCAAAATTTATGTGAAAAATGCGAATAACCGAGTTTTTGATTTTTATTTTTTGCAAAAACAAACAAATATTTTTTCACGAAATTTGGTGAAAACTTACCTTTGTATGTCCCAAATATACAGTAATTTTTTTGATTTAAAATATTCATTTTTTCACCTTATTTTGACTTAATATCGAAAAAACACCCTTATTTTCAATCGAGAATTCTCACGTCAAAATATCTGCTTTTTTAAAAAAGTTGGGGTGTTTTTGTTTGCTGAAATCTCTACTTTCTGATGGTATAAAAAAATGTACACTACTATGGTAAATGTTCTCAGAAACTGCAAATTAATAATGAAAAAAACTCCAATCCGAAAAATTGATTTGAATCATTATCTATAATTTTGAACTATTTATTGAAATTTACACTTTAATTACTCGAAAAACGTAAGATTTCATGTTATATTGATAAACAGAAAAATTACAAATCCATAAAACATGCAAAAATAGTTGTTGTAAGTAGGTATTAAAAATAGGATTTTCGGATTCGAGTTTTTTTCATTATTAATTTGCATTTTCTGAGAACATTTATCATAGTAGTGTATATTTTTTATACCATCAGAAAGTAGAGATTTCAACAAACAAAAAACACCCTTTTTTAAAAAAGCAGATATTTTGATGTGAGAATTTTCGATTGAAAATTAGGGTGCTTTTTGGATATTAAGTCAAAATAGGGTGAAAAAATGAATATTTTAAATCAAAAAAATTACTGTATATTTGGGACATGCAAAGGTAAGTTTTCACCAAATTTCGTGAAAAAATAATTTTTTTGCAAAAAATAAAAACCAAAAACTCGGTTATTCGCATTTTTCACATAAATTTTGAGGTTATGTGAAAAGTGTCGATACAAAAGTTGTAGATCTTTTTATTACCTACAACTTTGCCATTTAACTTTTTTTTTCATAGGACTTGCAGTTTTACCGGTAATCGAGATTAACCATTTTTTACCCTTAAAAACTCACCCCCTCCCCCTTCCCGACCTCAGATCGCCCGTAATTTATTTTTCCTTTCATTTTTGTTATATTCTCTACCTTTTCTAATGGGTTTCATTCTACTATAATTTTTTTTCACTTTTCACCATTTTTAAAATTATCGACCCTGGTCTAGTGGCCTTACCAGTAGCTGAAATCGGTGGAACCAATCGCACTTGATTATTGTAGTTTTGAATGGATATAAGTTGTTTTTTATAATTAAATTTAACTCGTCGTCGGAGGCATAGCGAAATGACACTAGCAAACATAAAAAAAATGTTTTGTACTTAATTGAAAAATAATTGTTAAAGGTACTTTAATCATACTAATCTGTTTAGATAATTATCATATAGGTATTGTCATACATATCAACTTCAGGTTCAATAGATAGTTGATATTATTTTGTTCTCCCTTGTGACTGAAAACTACAATGTAATTATGGCGTAGAGTACCTTTGCTGTACTATTCCGTAAGGGGGCTTAGTTATTTGCCTCTTTACAGCATGGTCAATGACTGTTCTGAAGACATCTTGATAACAATACTAATATCATACTAATGTTTACATTTTTGACGAAAATAACAAAAGTTAGCCCAAACAATCGTTTTTAGGGTTCCGTAGTCAAATGGCAAAAAACGGAACCCTTATAGATTCGTCATGTCAGTCCGTCTGTCTGTCCGTATGTCACAGCCACTTTTTTCCAAAACTATAAGAACTATACTGGTGAAACTTGGTAAGTAGATGTATTATTTAAACCACATTAAGATTTTCACACAAAAATAAAAAAAAATACAATAAATTTTGGGGGTTCCCCATACTTAGAACTGAAACTCAAATTTTTTTTTCATCAAACTCATACGTGTGGGGTATCTATGGATAGGTATTTACAAAATGATAGCGAGGTTTCTAATATGTTTCTTTTCTAAACTGAATAGTTTACGCGAGATACACTTCCAAAGTGGTAAAAAGTGTGTGTGTGTGTCCCTTCTTCAACTTCTTTCTGAGTGAAGTTATCCAATCTGCATGAAGTAGTGGTAAAGGGTTAAGGTTAGCCAAGAATAAGGTAGATGACGCGACAAGTATATTTGCTGATCCAATTATCTTTGCAGCCGAAGGACTAAATAATAATTCCATCCAAAAGAAAAATAGCAATTGCCTACCTGATGCTTTGCGGCCTCCATCATAGCCTTTAAACGTTTGTAATTAGCCTTGTCTAACTCTGTGCAGCCTTACTCACCGTAAGAAATATAACACTACGCAAAGGTACTGAGGAGCTCTAGCCAGAGTGGATAGAACTCAGGGGACGTAATTACTAATTAAAAGATACTGGTAGAGATAAGATATTTATTTCATTCAGGCGAATATAATTATTTTTATGTAACTACGAGAGGTTTGGTGCCTGAAGATCGTCTCTTGTATGAAACCTTCTATCAAGAGACAGACGATTCCTTATTTCAAATCTTAAAATCATGACATTAACTTTTTAATATAACTGCCAACCGTAGGCATCGCAAGAGCAAAGAGTTTACTTAAACAAGGAGGTAGTAACGTAACGGACGTTACATCCCTCCGGCACCGCTAAAAAAATTGTTTTGTCATACTAGATGACCGAACAAATTTTTTTTTTCCTACCTACTACATCGAGAGGGTTCGACGGTCCTATCTAAAATCCCTACCTGCTTAAGGACATAAATACAACTGGGAGGTGGCCTTTACTACAGACTAGCCCTCACAATGAGTTTGCAAAATTTGAAAAAAAAAAACAAGAATAAGGTAGATGACGCGACTTACGGGAAAAGAACCCTAACTGTTTGCAAAGTTTTATTGCAAAGACTTTATGGGAGCAAAACCTTAACAAAATCCCTCGTACATCTCCCCCCTAACCTTAACTTTACTTAACATCGACATCAGTCGACAAAAACAAAAAAAAACAAAGCTATCCCTAGCTATTCCTTAAATTACCCAAGCTATTTTTATTTTATCCCATCTATCAGCAAAACTTTACCCTATCTCATTTATTAAACCATTAAATATCAAGAAAATCTGTATTTTGAAACTTAATTACTTCCCATACTAAGTAGATGTACGAAACGAAATTCAAACTATTTCCTAAGATTCGTAAACACTAACTGAATTTAAGAAACTAAAAGAATTTATAATTAATGTTTACTTTCGTACATCTTTAATAAAGATACAGACGTGATCCACCACTTTTATTGTCTTGTACTTTATTAGACACACATGATGCGCAAACGTAATAGAAATTTTGGGTAAGGACATCTAGCATCAAACAAGATTAAACCCAATTCCCATGGAATACTAAGGGTTCCCTACCCCCAAGTCAAACTACTACAAGTGACGATTTCGACGAACGCGACGCGACCAAATTGAAACGAAACGACGCGAATTGAAGAGGGTGTCTTCACCATATTCAAAAAGATGGCGCGTAACCAAAAAACGTGACGCGTAACCGAAAAAAATGTGACGGTAAATTTTTTTCCAACGCCGATAAAGAAGTTACACTTCAATAATCTTTGCAAGAGAGCCGGTAATCTTATCTGATAATAGGTTAGAATGGAACGTATCCGATAGGAGAAATAGGAGGCTTGAGAATGAAAATCGAATAAGAAAAGTAAAAGAGAATCTCATAAAAGCACGTCTCACTCAGAAAAGATTATATGATCGAAAAGTTAGGTTAATTACTTATCAACCTAGGCAATTAATATTACTATATTGTCCTAAAAGAAGGTCAGGTCTTAGTAAGAAATCAGGTCGTCCGTACAAAGGCCCATATCAGATAATACGACCGCTTGGTATTAATAATTATGTTATCAAAAGATTAAGGAATTCAAGAATAAGGATTGTACATGCAAATAGAATAAAACCATTTAGGCTACGATAGAACTCAGGGGACGTAATTACTAATTAAAAGATGCTGGTAGAGATAAGATATTTATTTCATTCAGGCGAATATAATTATTTTTATGTAACTACGAGAGGTTTGGTGCCTGAAGATCGTCTCTTGTATGGAACCTTCTATCAAGAGACAGACGATTCCTTATTTCAAATCTTAAAATCATGACATTAACTTTTTGGAGTGAAACTTCTTTATCGGCGTTGGAAAAAAATTTACCGTCACATTTTTCGGTTACGCGTCACATTTTTCCGTTACGCGCCATCTTTTTTTATATTAATAGTTGATAGCTGAATGATCATACTCGCTCGGTTAAGCTAGCTTGGCTGTCAAAAGCCATGCGCGTGCATTTTAACTCAGGACTGCCAATTCGTTTCTAGTTTCTACTCGCTTATCGTTCATCGTCGGAGGTGGAACATGTGCCTTAGATTACTGAGCCGTGTAATCATAACAGTTTCATAGGCAGGTAATTTGTATTCATGTCTATGATAATAAAATCCTTTTGTTTAAACTTTATCTAATTTAACTTTATTTAACCAATTTCTGAAAAGTTGCATGTAGATCATTTTTCGAAAAATAAGGCCATAAAGAAGTTTCACTTCTTACGTGTGTACACTAGTACACGCACACATTTTTATTAATATAACTGCCAACCGTAGGCATCGCAAGAGCAAAGAGTTTACATAAACAAAGAGGTAGTAACGTAACGGACGTTACAGTACCTACTGTTGGTTCACTATGATCTTCCATAAGGTGCAGATTACTTATCCAGATGGCCATCCCAATTGGAGTGAAAACTTAATAATTATACTTTCTTTCTCAAAACTTCGATAAGTACCAAGACCTACATTGTTTTTAACGATATTATTGTCATTTTTATGCTTCTATATCAGGGTTCTGACTTTCTATCGTTGGAAAAGAAAACAGTATCGATTAACTCATGCAATATTCGAATTAATATAGTTTCATCTGTCAATAAATCTTCTTTAAATTATTTCACGTTGACTTTCTGCAGGTCTCATACCAGTGTCGCTGGATTACTACACGACAGCGATGCGGCTGTCGTTTAGCGGCGACACGGCATCGAGTGAGCGTGGCAAGTTGCAGGCGCTGCGGGCTGCGGCGCTACTGCTTCGGAGTGCTGGGCAGAGGGCGCGAGTGCTGCAGCTTGTCATAAGGTCAGTCCCAGTGTTCATTAATTATCCTAGTATTGACAGATTTATGACACACTATTGTTTAGCGGCGACAAGGTGATAAGTAGATCATACTAAGTTACTGATGCTGATGGCAACGGTTCTGCTCTACTGCTGGGGGGGCAGAGGGCGCGATTCCTGCTGCTTATGATAAGACCAGTTCTACTTTACTTTTCCTTCAGAGCCGGATGAGCGATACCCTTGGTGCTGCAAGTGTCCATGGGCGGCAGTGACTTTTGAACTGCCAGCGCTTTTGCCTGCTTTAAAAAGCTATATAATTTATTTTAAATACATATTCTAACATATTTGGGAAGCATAAATTCTTGCCAGTTTGTCGCCTGCGATAGTTCTCAAATATAGCCGTCTCATTTGCACTCCAAAAATAGCTGCTGACGATTTCTATCACAATCTTTGGGCAAATTTATTAAGCTGCAACTATAGTTACAACTCAACACACACAACAGTCTTGAAATGCAGCTATGGGCTGTGGGAGTAGATGTTCATACACTGTAGAGTAGACTGTATAGTTTTAAGGGTCTTACAGACAAAGGCAGCCAGCTCTTACTGATTGATGGTGTTTGTACACTCGTCAGCATTGCAGGCGAATACAACTGGCCTATATAGTCATGTTAAGCTACACTTTTTGATGTTCTGTCAATCCCGAAAAGGATATATGACGTAGAAACCTTGTTTCTGATAACATGATTCGTTCAGATGGCATGCGGTACGCGGCGGCGGGCAGCCGATGGCGCGTCGTGCGCGGGCGGCGCGCGCGTGGCGGCTGCGCACCGAGCTAGCCGGACGCGCCGCGCAGTACGCGCGACCGACTATGCAGCCACGTACTGTAAGTACCTTAGTATTGCAGTCAACATGAAACCAGCCGTCTATATAGATAGATTGATAATTCAAATAGATCCACTTTATTAAATTTACTATTGTAGGTATGGGTGATACGCGTAAGGACATTGTTCCAAACATAATTAGTGAAGTGCTGGGGTGAGTGCAACAAGGTAGTATTGCGTGTACGAACTGGCGTACGAAATGCTAAACTCGCAACTAGTTCTGGACCGTGAAGTTGTCCGTTGACGAAGTCAAAATGTAAACTCATGTTAGGCATGTCATATGTCGCACATATGATTCGGGTGAAATTCGCTGAGGATAATTTAGATGATGAATGATTTTTTTAATACTTTCTAGGCGGTCTTTATAGACATTATATTGCGGCGACCAGACCGAGCTCGAGTATTCCAATACACTACGAACATATGCAAAATAAACCGACTTGACGGCAGAAATATCGTTTAATGGTGTAACAAAACCCAAATTCCTAAAATCTCTGTTAATAATGAAATCTATGTGATTACCAAAAGTCATTTTGCTATTAAGGATTACACCCAAATCACGGATTTCAGTCATTTCTTTAATAATATTACCGTTAAAGTTATAGCTATATTTAACAAGATTTACTTTACGCGATGTGATACTCTGACATTTACCTATGTTGATATTCATTTTATTGTGCGTGTAATATAAATTAAGACGATCCAAATCACTTTGCAAGAATTCAAAGTCATGTAGGTTTCTAATGCTGAGATTTTTTTTATCATCAGCATTATAGTCATTGCTCAGCATGTTTCACTACATTACCAATATCGTTATGATAAGCATTATAAAATAAAGGCCCCAGATGTAAGCCCTGAGGTACTGCAGTTGGAACCCTCACAAAGTTCGATCTGAACCCTCCAACCACATCTACCTGAGAACGATTCGTCAAATAAGACTGGATCCAGCGAAGCAAATCAAGTGTAGACCACGACAACCTGCCCTCCCTAATCCATATTTGTAAGAACGTAAGTTGTAAAGCATGATAGATTTGTAACAGTAGAGCGGCGACGAAGAAAGCATTTTCTTTAAAACCGGGTATATTGCGTTGTAGACAAGCTTTTCAAAGACCTTGCCCAACGTTTTTAGTATAAGAATACCACGCTAGTTTTCTACACATGCTTTGGAACCTTTCTTGTGGTGGAGGTCGAAACTGGTCATTCTTCCATAAAGTAGGACAGATGCCTTCTTTTAAAGACTGATTAAACAAATATGTAAGAGGAGATGCTAGAGTTTTAGCGTAATGTTTTCCTTTAAAACAATCTAAGCTAGATAGTGTATTTAACACCATTTCAACAGACACATTTAAAATATAAATATAATAAAAAATAACAATTAAAATACTGAGTTAGTTGCATCGTCTACATAACCAAACTGCAGTAGCATTACCCCCTGGCATTTAATCGTACTGAAATGTCTATAAGACTTTCGTAATCACCTTTTCTATAGTTGCACCGTAAATTATTGATTTCTTTTAAAGGGTTTTACTTTAACGTGCAAGAGTTCAATTAAAAATGAAGGATGAGCACAATCATCACAAGAGAACAGCATGCTTATTTTGATTTTTATTGGTAAATTTGAAACAGCTAAGTCCAAAGTGTTTCCTGCATAATTTAACAGATTGTTATACTGGGATAGGCCTAACACTGAGAACTTATTTATAAATTTGACACTTGCGCCCTGCACAATGGCTGCCCCACGTTAGTAAAATACCGGTTTATTTAAGCACCAACCAATATTCGTTTGATTAAAGCCTCCGACTATTAAGTGGATGTCCTTAGGGTTCGAGTGGAAAATAGCATTTACAGAATTAATAATAGCATCAGTGTCTTGTGCGATACGACTAGGCTTGGGTGGAATATAGACAATTTGGACCCTCCAATCCCTTTTTTATGATATCAATGCGCATCGATACCAGATAAATCGCATCCGATGCGCGCAGCGATGTCAAGTGAATGTCAGTTTAGTTGGTATCTTAGTATCATGGGATGCGATGCGATACAAATTACGACAGATGCGTGTTTTGTGTACCTAGGTGTGTCTCTGCGATACATTGATAAACCGTAATTCTGGCAACACGTTTCTCACACGCTCTGGTAACAATTTCTCTATTTACCTAGCGAGACACTGCGCTATGCACCCGATGACCGGTAGTGCCGCAAACTTTTCTAAGCTGGTGATAAAAATTGGAACTACAATTTATCCACAGCCTTTTGATATTCTATGACATAATAGGGATGATGACAAATTTTTTTTTCTTCGGTTATCGGGTAGATTATCTAAAAGTATTGAACACGTATTTTTTCTTTTTTCACATAATATAAACATTGCAGAGATATATAGATTTGAAAAGTCGCATGACGTCACGTTTGAGTACACTTTTAAGTGAAAGTTCACTCAAAAGTGACGTCACGAGCCCCTACTCCCAAACTTTGACGCGCTATAACTTTGCCATTTTTTGGTTGATTGCCCAAAGAAAAAATACGTGTCCATTATTTTTTGATCATCTAACTGACGGACTAAATAGAATTTCGTTTACTGTATAGCCCAGTCAATGAAGGCTTAACTTTGCCATTTTGAGTTGATCACCTGCAACCAACGCCAAAATTCGTAGATTAATATACAAAAATTGCAGGGTGCTGCACTGACGACAAAGGGAGAAAAAAAAATGCGAAATGGTGCAAAAACGAGTTTTTCGTCGTTATCTCGCGACTGGCTGGAAAAATAGAAAAAGTTCCTAGTACTAAGTTGTAGAAAATTTAATTTCCTACAAAAAAGGTATCAACAGATTTTTGCGTATCTCCCATAGTTTTTGTACAAAATGCAATTAAAGGTGCAAAATAAAAAAAGAAAATATATTGTTAATGTTTTTTTTTTTCCATTTTTAAACGATCCTACGGGTCAAATTCAACAATCACCACTTACTGAAATATTTAAGCATGAGTTTTCGGCAGTCCACTGAAATGAAAATTGACTACCGAAATGGTAAAAAAATTACCACCAAAATGATACAGCCAAGAACATCGCCTTTGTAGTAGAAGGGTTCCCTATTTTTAATTTAAATAAATTTCCTTATTCTTCGTAAATATTTTTGTTCATTATTTTTTAATAAGAATCATTAATGAAGAATTAATTAATTGTTACTCCTATTAATTATTATTAATAATTATAATTATTAATTTATTAAAAAGCGAGAAGTTTATTAGTTAGTAAATCGTCCCCTTAGTGCCAAAACCGATTATCTGCACTTTTCCGCTACTGAACTTTTATAATACCAATCGACCCGTCTCATTAAGCCGCATCTACAGGTAAAACCCATTATGCTCTACGACGCATACTTTCTGAAACAGCTAATGAATAAACAGAATAACTGCAAATTATTTCCAAAATTCTTGATTTAAAACCTAATAAACCCATTCAAAACACTTAAGTTGGTAAATGTATTACCGCTGAAACCAAAGGACATTGTTCTGCGTCCATACATAGTTAGCCTAAGAACCAACAATCATGAAATATTATTTTCTAGGTTCGAAATCGCAAGTAAATGACTGTAAAAACAAAGATTATTGACGGACACTTCTGAGAACTTAAATTATTAGGAAAACTAAAATATTTTTGAGGTTATGTTTAATATTTAATGAAACATAGGTCATTCAATAAAAGTACATACTATGAACTTAGTATGAAGTGAATTAATATTACAACTAATTCATTTTATTCGGTGCGATTTTAAAGAATAACTATTAGGAAAAACTTGGTTAGGTAGGAATCATGAATAAAATAAAAACAATAGTTTTGCTTCTTATTATTTATTGACTATTTTTCACATAATTGTATCATATTGTATTTATTTGTTTAACACATGTATATTGTGTAAATATGCAGCGTGAATGTGTATCAGCTGCTCTTGAATAATTTGGCAGTATGATCCTCTCAGGATGTTGTGGCACAGGTTCACTAGCACTTGGTAATAAGATCTCTGCACTTTGGTAACATCGATGGCATATTAGATAGCCGAAATAGAAATAGTTAAAATAAAGGAAAAACAATAGCAAATAAACACACACACAACAGGTAATCCGAACGAGAATTTTCCGTATATAAAAGTACCTACTCTTTGACAAGATTGCACGAATGCCACAGATTACTACGAATGCAAACTGCCTGCACCACAACCACAGAGTATCGAGTTTATGCCGGCCCTTCACTTGAGAACAGTTTGTTCTTGTCATGCTTAATAAGGAATGAAAAGGACAGACATGTCATGTTTTTAAATAGCAAATACAAATAGCCAAGTGAAGTGCCGGCATTAGGAAGAAAGTATTTTTTGTTTGCAGTGCTGTCATAGATTATACACTTAAAATGGTATTTATTGTCTCAGATTATTTATTAACTTTTTAATTTAGCTTACTTAACTGGAAGTGTCCGTCACAATCTAAATACTGATAATTATGGCAAAAAATATACTAAGAATTATCATAAATGCCAAATTGGTGTTGGTTCTTAGGCCAATTTTAACATTGTCCTTTCGGATTTAAACTCATTTTTCATGTAGACACGTAGACACGACAAGTAGAGTAAATATCCTGTGAGTATCCTGTAATTGGCTTTGACTGTTTGAATTTTACCAGATATTTTAATTTTACTAGATGAAGTAAAAACTAACAAATCTGTCGCTTTTTGCAAAAAAATACATATAATATGTTTGCGTTATATTTGAGGCAAGTAAAAGAGGATAGACCGAATCGATCGACAGGTGACCTTCTAGCGTACGTGACATATATCTGAGGTGAGGCTATCAATAAGCGAGGTGAGTCTTTGACTATCAGCCTTAACATCGCCAAGGCTTTGATAGGGTCTGGCACATAAGTCTTCTCTCCAAGCTTCCTGGATACGGTCTGCCTACTCAGTTCTGTGCCTGAGTGGCTGACTTCCTGCATGAACGTCAACGGACGGCGAAGA